ATATATATATATATATATATATATATATATATATATATATACAATATACACACACACACTATGTTTATACGTTATCATGGAATTTAAATGTGTAACGGAATGAAATGTGTGTGCTGTCTGTCTTCAGATACACTTTGATACATCTCATGCTATCTCTCAGAAGACGAAGCATTCTAATCGCTGTTTTTTTTTCTTCTCTCTGTGTGACAGAGTCATATAGCATAATTTCGACACGACGGATGATTCTAATTTACGTCAATTATATAAATACGACACTTACATCGGATCTGCTCTTCAACGTGCTCCGCTTCGGGCGTAACAGCACATCCTTAAAGTCCAGCTTTATGTCATTTATTATGTTCGGCATTTCGGCAATTGACTTTTTCCTTCCAAGTAACAACTTAATCTAGCAGACGACTTTCACACGCACCGGGCGCAGACAGATTCACGAACTCGGACGTTCTTACACTGACTGGTACACCCAGCCGTGCCTTATCTGATACGTCTGCACATAAGGGAGAGAAGGCTATTTTCGTCCCTCTCTCTTCCTCCTTATTGAACCAGGGCGGTGTGGTCTGAGGGCGCTTTAAGAGGTGTCCACGTCGCATTAAATATATGCAGGATGTATACGGCGGATATTCCTTTTTGGAGATTGAACATTCATCCACTCTCTCTATTAAGACTTATAAAATCATAAAAAGTTGGTTCTAAAATTATATTTATAACGATAGTTTTATTTAAAAAGATTTATTTTATTTCTTGATAATAAGCATTGTTATGTGTGCCTAAATGCACACATATATATATTATCGAATGCTATATACAATTTCTATCAAACCTGGTTTACGTAAAGCTTTCTCCTTGTATTTGTCATTGCGCTTTTATTGTTATTTCAGCAGAAATTATACGGAATCATCACAAAGTTATGGTTGACACCGCGATGATCTGCATATTTTTTTATTGTGTCTTATCATTCTGGGCAAATGCCAGCCAACATATTAACGATGGACGCATTGCGCAAAATTTCAATTTCACAATGGCTCGAGCAATCATAAAGCCATCCCTGTGAACATGTGTATACTTTAATATCACTGATAATGAATCAAAAGTATTAACATTTCTAGACTGTATGACGATTCTCAAGCTTTTTTTTCCACGCCACGTTGTTTACATGACAACATGACAATGTGCAACACTTTATATTGTAATAACAAATTATAATTTCAAACTTATATTTTGTTTATTGTGTATTATATATTAAAAATTTAAAATATTGATGTAAATATGCATATAAATATTTTTTCATACCTTTTATTGGACGTAATGGATTACAGTTTGTGTGTTAATTAAGTTTTTCAGTACGTAAATTTAACAAAAGTATTTAAATTATCAGGGAATTGATACCAGTTTTTATTGTATGCTAGAGGTCAATATTGATACCAGTTTAATAATAGTTCAAACCTTAGTTATAATATAAAAAATAGGCAATTATCCATTTTTTTACTATTACTATTACAATTATCAACTGGTTAATTATGCATTAGTTGAGGATAATAGATTCGAACTGAAAAAAGATGGCTCATAAATATTTCATAAAGGAAATAACTTAGAATTTCATGTATAAAATTATATATGTGTAGTAAAAACAGCTTTGGTAAAAAATGAAACTTTGTGCTTTGTGAATAGTATTATTCTATACAAATTCGTCATCCTTAAAAAGGACCATGATACATGATGTATAATATATATATATATATAAATTCTGAGCAAGAAGATTCAAAATTATCGATATGATAATAAAGTGGGATAATATTAAATTTTCATTGAATTGTTTTTTATACTTAATTCTATAATAATTCTTTAATTCTATAATGTTATATATATATATAAATCTATAATTCTATAATGTGTACACACATATAATTTGTAAGCTAGTTGTACATGAAAAAATGTATATTGCTAAATTATTTTCATACATTTGCCACATGCGCATGTATCCATGTTATGTACTTTTTCCTATTAATAATTTTTGACTTAACATTCTAGTGAATTTGCCCACTGGGATTGCATTTATATGATCACATAAACATATTAAATTTATATTAAATAAATTAATTTCTAGATATTGCAGTGTACATGATGTGATACACTAATGCCCGATTCCACCAACGTAGATTAACTTTAATCTCGGTTTAT